TGCAACCCATTTTAAGATTTAATGTGACTCCCCAAAACCCATCAAACAAAGTCGACAGATTTCGGGGAGAAGCAGATGAACCTTGGCAGAAGAAAAGGGTTTGAAATTCGAGAAGGGGGGAAATCAATCACCCCTCCACGACGGAGGGTAGAAATTAGGGCACAAAACGAAGGGAGAATTTTTTCAGAGAATTGAGACAACAACAAAACGAATCAGGCCCAATTTTTGGGAAAAAGAAGATGGAATTGCAGGTGGTTGATTCCCCCTTTCTCTCTTCCAATTCCGATTGAAATTGAGTGAATCAGAGTTTTTTGGAATTTGGAAATGGCGAAAAGCGCGGGGAAGGAGAAAGATTAAGTAAAGGGGCGACATTTGTGGGTCCAAATTGGTCGTGTTCATTAGGTGTAGAGATGGGGAAGCTGAGTTTCAATGGCGATTGGTTTCGGTTGCTTCAGATGTATGGGAGAGACGACAGTGGCGGTTGCATGCTCATAATTGAACGACTGCCAACAACTCAACAACTTTGAAAAATGATATAAAATTCTGTAAATATCAACTATAATTTTTTTAATTATATAATATAACTAAAAATATGATTTTTTTTTTTTATATAAAAGTTAAAAAGAAACACGAAGTTGCTATATAAATTATAAAGTTACAGAATCTCGAATTTCCTTAGTTCAACTTAACAGAAGAAAGAAAAAGAAATGAGTGGAAATGAGAAGAAAATAAAAAAAATTAGTCCCGAGTTTCATTAAATGAAGAAAGTGGAGAAAAATAGGAGGATCACTTTCCCTCCTAACTTTCTTTCCGATTTGAGAGGATTTTGAAAGAAAGAATAAAATGATTCATTTTCCTTCCACTTCTTTCCAATTCGGAAACACAAAAGAAAATTTTGTTTTCTTTTCATTTCTCTTCTTTTCTCTCATGACTTTCTTTCCTCTTCTCTTCTCTTCTCTTCTTTTCTTTTGTTAAACTCGGGAACGAGGCGTAAGACTCTCTTCTAGTATATCAGGGCAAGTGGCATACACTAATTGACGAAGTGCGGCGATGCATTTTTGTATAGGAGTAAAACCAACTCTACCTCTAACACCTCGATGTCGTTGAGAAAATGGACACATTGTCGTGATGTCGTTACATCCACCCCATTGGTCCACTCAACATAGTCAAACTTTACATTTACACACCAAGAAACCGAACCGAGCTCGACAAGCTGAGGGATCGGGTAGTGTGCGGCGAAGTTGTCGAGCTCCTTGCCGAGCCCATACCGTCCAACATCAGGCTCTTTCTTGGTGGACATCACATGATGTAGGTGTTCAGTTTTTACTCTTGCTTGAGTTCGACAAACATAAACGAGAGAGAAAGAGGTGGTGCGCCAATAGCAGGGAATATTGAGGGATATATTAGATTATTTTTTCTTGTATTAGCTTCTGATATGACCTACAATGAATAGTCTATTAAATACTAAGAGGGTGTTTGGATAGGGAAAAAGTAGAGAACTTATAGCTTATTGTTTATATCCACTTCCATAAGCTAAGTTTAAGTGTTTGGATAGGAAACATTAAGAATCAACTTATTGTGGTGTGGATAAGCTAAATAAGCTAATTTTGAAAACCTCCCCCCCCCCCCCCCCCCCCCCCCCCAATCTGCTTAAAGCTTATTGCTTATACTCTCTATTTCTAGTCATTTTACTCATATAAACTGTTTTGTTTGTCAAAAACTTAAATGTTTATCAGTTTATTGCTTATCCATACCGCTATAAGCTAATCTAAACATTTTTGTAAAAGTTGCTTTCTCACACCGCTATAAGAGCATTGGGTGTGGGCAACAAGGTGCAACACCAAGTTGTGCCACCTCACATGCCACATAAGCAAATGGTGTTATAACACAAAGTGAGGAAATGGGCAACAAGATGCAATAAGATGTAACACCAACATTTTGAAAATAATTTTTTTTTTTGTATTTTTTTTTACTATTTCGTTTTTTTTTTACCTTTTTTTTTCGTTTTTTTTTTTTTTTTTTTTTAATAACTAATATATTTTTTTTATAAAACATATAATTTTAAAAACAAAAAAAAGACATAATATTTAAAATCTAAAATCCGATTACAATTAAAAAAACATAATTTTAAATCTAAATTAATAACTAAAATAACATTGAAATCACTACTAAATACCACACACAAATCCTAATCAACCAAAATATTTTTTCCTAATTTATTCCTTCATTGCTTATAGCACCGCTAGATCAGCAGGAGCTAAACCCTCCTCGTTTGTCCGAAGAATTGACAACTATTGTGTCATTAGTTCCCTCTCTTTTTGCTTCTGCTTCTCCCGTTCCTGTCTTTCCAGAAATTCCAAATGACGACGTTTCAACTCATTTTTTTTCTTTTATTAACAAATTATGTTTGTCGAATTTCGCTCTCATTTCCGCCGCATCTTTTGCTCTCGTCTCCACCTCCTCCGCATGCCTTGCAGCGCGCTCGCTTTGTCGCGTCCGGGCGGTCGTCGTGGTGGGGATATCTCTTGGATATCATCCGAGATCTCATCGTCATCGGCGTTTAGGTCGATGTTAGTCCGTGCGTCCGACACGTCGACCGAACTAGAATTGCGAGACCTTTTGGATTGAACCTCCAACGATGTAGACATTTTATTCCACTTTGGATCCGCTTGCAACAATTCCCATGATTTTTCAAAGTCAAAAACATGACCCATTTCGACCCGATATTTTTCCTTAGCAACTTTGAACAAATCAAAGTCGTTGGTTCCACTTTGTTGTTGCGCCGCAATCCGGTTGTAAATACCATTGAATTTGCTGCACCGCTTAGTTATCATACCCCATTTGCTGCTCAACATGTCGTTGTTGCGATACGAATTTTTCTTTAGAATAACGTGAAACTTATCGAGCACCGCCCCCCCAATAAGCTCATTTTTTCATTCCATTTCCACGAAGTTCGTCCTTTGAAGTAGCACACCAAGTCGCCGTCAAAGCGTATTCCTCCTCCGGTGTCCACCATTGTGGAACGTCTGCATTTTCAGATTCCACCGCTATTGATTTTCCTTTCCCTTTCCTACTACTTCCTACTTCCACTTGAACTATTGGTTGTATTATAGGCGACGGTTGATTGGTTGTTTGTTGCATCGAACCAAAAGTAGAGAAAAGATTTTGTTGTAAATTTGGGTTTTGACCAAATTGATTTTGTTGAACGTAAGGTGAGTTGGGAAATTGCAGTGACGGTGAAACGGTATTGAAAGCGGCACCTTGGTATGGTATTTGTGGTGAACCTTGAGACGAAAAAAGGTTAAAATAATTTTCATACTCCGCAAATCTGAGAGGCGAGGTTGTGTTTGAGTTTGATGATGGAGCGGGGGGGTTGGGTTTTGCTCCATTTTTTGAATTAAAGATATAGATATAGAGAGAATGAGAGAAAATGTGTATAAAGATATAGAGAGAATGAGAGAAAGGTATATAAAAATTGAAATAAAGTGTATGTATATATATAAATGGTAAAAAAGTAACCTTTTTTTTTTTTTTTTTTTTTAAATTGACCGTTTAATAACGGTAAAATATGTGCAACGTATATTTTTTTTGGCGTTACAACTCGTTTCCAAAGCAACGAGATCCGGGCGACGAGAAGCAACGGCTAGGGGGGGGGGGGGGGGGCGGTGTTCACCGCATTATGACGGCGTCGCGGAATGCCACGTGGGTCTCGTCGCTTCTCGTCGAGGCCCATACCGACTCGTCTAAGCTAATAAACTCTAAGCTAATTTATCCAATCACCCTCTAAGTTGGTTAGATTTTAAGTCTTTTATTCCAACTAATTTAGGCTACTCTGTATAAATACCATACACACGATGCAATGATAAGTTGGACAAGTCTCCACAACGTTCACATCGTCCACACTGGTCTGATGGGATGTTAGCGTTTAGGTTTATGGCTGAGGTCACATGGTGTCACACGGGAATTCTCTATTGTTTGGCGCATGTTCATGTTGAACAACACCCCTACCATGCGAAGGTGGAGTGAAGATAAATGCAATGCTATGTCGCTTTTATGGGTGTTTATACCTCACAACCTTAGTAGCCAAACACACTAATAATTCTTATCTAGTAGTCAGCCCCTAGTTAATCACTCTTTTATCCTGCATTTAACCGGTTAATTATAAATAACTATTATTTACATATTTATTTAAGTTGGAATAAATTTTACAGTATACATATTATTATATTTTCCTCTGTAATGCTTTTTAGTATGTGAACACATATGTTCATGATCAAAATACACTTTATTCTTTATTTTTTTTGCACATTATTCAACAATCCTTAAGGAAATTGATCAATGCATCCACAAACATCAAAATCGCCTTTCCAGAACACTTAACACCTACTTACAATTCCACATAGCTTCTGATGGCAGATCTACATTCACTACAAGAAAACTCCTTTTTAATGACCAATTATTAGTGACCACCTAAAATCTAGTCACTAATATCATCATTTAGTGACCATTTATTAAGTCGTCACTGAATGTTGGTAATGCTACAAGTTTAGTGACCAATTCTATCATGGTCGTCACTCACCGGTCACTAACCGTAGAAAAAAAAATCATATTTTAATAGCATAATTAGTTTGGTGACCAAAAATAATGGTCACTACATTGGAGGCCTAATGACAAAAAAAAAATGATCCCTTCATTAGAGGATTAATGACCAAAAATTATGGTCACTAAATACTCTTCTCTTTTCAAACCCACCTAAACGTCATGTGGAGGGACTGTGACGAAACAATATGGTTATTGAAATACAAAATGAAAAAAGGTTCAGTCACCAACTATATATAATTTTTATTCATAGCGCCTAACTCTAAAAAATGACCAAACTTATATTTACTTTCATAGCGGCAACACATGTCATCAAACTACAAGGGTAAAAACGTAACTTACCCTAAAATACGAGTGCCAATACAAGACAGGCAAACCATTTCACGTATAAACGGATGCAAATGAATTTCTCCCATCGTTTCACCGTCGTTCTCATCCACCATCTGCAAGCCCTAAACCTTCCCCAATCTCCAATTCATCATCGCCAAATCCAATTTCTACTACCTAGGGTTTTTGTGTCAGACGAGATTTTCAAGGATTTGGAGAATGGCAAGCTTGGCAACCAACATTGTCTATACCTAAGTCATCACATTATCAACAAAGTCCGAGAAGAATTCATCAAAAATCATGGTCCTGGAGAAAGCCTTACTTCTTACTTACGACAATGTTTGTCCTTACGCCCCCTTTCCACCGACTGGTGCCGCCACCTCCTTCCCCATATCCTCTGGTATCTTCTTTTCTCTATTTCAATCCGTTTTCCCATTGTGATTTCATCGATTGGATGAGATTTTGAAAGAAGGTTACATGGACAGTTGAATGTATGTACTTGTGATCAGCATCTAGGGACACAGTTCATCTTCTCCCTATTCAATAGAATGTGCACAACAACTGTTTGATGAAATGCTTACATGAACTAGGAGTGCATTATGAGTATATCTATCTCCAGCTGTTCATAATTTGTGAGTTATCTCTCTCTCTCTCTCTCTCTCTTTCTCTCTAATTTATTTTACTCAGTCCAGGTGTAACAAACTTATCCTAATTGTGCATTAGTCAAGTTTCTTATCATGTTATAGATATAATTCATTGGGTAAAGAGATTGCATATTACTGTATCTGTGAAGAAAACTTCAATTTAAAATCTTGGGAAGATGGGCTTCTGATTCACATTTGTAGTTCTATGTGAACAAAATCTTTGCATGTTCAAACATCAAATGAACTATAAAAATCAACAAAATGTTAAATAGGCATGGTATCCATTGGAATTGGATCGTATTTTTGATAAACTGAGTGTGCATGATTAGGGCGACATTGGTCCTGCATTAAACGGATGATTTGTATGTGCTTGACATGATTAATGATACATACAAATGACACATGTAACCTTTTGGTGCTTTTTTCTTTAATCATTACTATTTTCTTCAGTTGTTTACTTGGTTTCTTGTTTGTGGTGTACATTCTTGTTGTTCAGGCACATGGTCATGGCCCATGATATGGCAGCTGATAACTAGTTACTGTTAGTGGAAATTACAATATGCCATTGAAAGTAAAAAGTTATCTGCCATGGATCGATATGGTAATCTTTGCTATTTTATTATTATTATACTCAAATTTATTTAAAAACTAAACTTTGTTAAATAATATATATTTATTATTATTATTATTATTATTATTATTATTATTATTATTATTATTATTATTATTATAATCTTTTGTTTTTACTGACAGGAATTCTAGATGACTCGTTTGCATTGTCTATGGCTAGCCAGTTGCCTTTATCTTCTTTGCTTACATTGATGGGTGCTTACAGAGAGGAACCTGATTATACAATGTTGTCAAACTTAATCAGTGTAATGACTAATGACTACTCTACCCTTGTTAATACTTTTTTTAGTCTGTATTATTTTCAGTATGAAGATGAGGATGGCATTCATGTCTTTTTGATGCTTGTCTTTCTTTTGGCTATCACAGGTTGGCTCTAAAGTTGCAAGAATTGTGGCTGATGTTAATAACACATTGCTGGACAACATTAAGATTTTCTTCATCAACCTTTTCCAGTACTCTGCAGAGTTAGTTTTTTTAACTTTTACTATTAATGATTTATATGCATACTATTGGGTTTAATTTATTTTCTTCAGTTGTTTACTTGGTTTCTTGTTTGTGGTGTATAATATCGTTGTTCAGGCACATGGTCATGGCCCATGATATACAAAATTTTAATCTTTTGCACAGTGATGTTGATGTGGTCTCTAGTTTATGTTGATGGTACCATTTCGTTATAATACTCGATCACTTCTTCAGTAATATTTGTGAACTAAATTTGGTCTTCAACTTCTGTAAGGTACTTTAGTTTTTCTTTTTTGATATAATGAATATTTATGTTTTGTTTGCTATTATTTTCTATATCTAAGACCTAATTGTGATTTGTTAAAAGGTGTACTTGATTTTAGACGAGTATTAGGTAATCATTTTCTAGCCCAGATGATGTATCACATTAAAATATTTTATTTTATATAAAAATATTCAGTATAACACATAACTAAAACTCGTTTATCCAAACAATAAGTCATATTTCCAGAAAATCATCTTTTGTCAAGGTTGTTCAATTCTTTGCTGAGCCAACACATGAGGGTTCTCCCTCTTACCCCACACCAATACATGCTTAAATTGTTGACATAATGTTTCATTTGTAGGGTGCTTCTATAAAAAGCTTGGAATCTGGTTCTTATGGAAATGTTACTGGTGTTTAGATTGAAAATGGATCTACCATTGAAGCAAATTGGTGAATTTCACTGTTTGTTCTAATGACTTCTTGATTAACCCTTAAGTGCATGAAAGGTAAAAATATGTGTGTTTCATTTCCCCTTGAGTGTATTAAAGGTTCTGGAGGGGTAGTTCCCAGCACATTAGTTTTATATAGGGAAATGTAATTTGAAGCTTATAAATTATACTCTTGTGATAAGTAATTGGTATGATACATTGATACGCATTTTTTGTTTTTCACATTCAGGTTAAGTAATGGGGGCTTCGTGGTGAGATCAAAGAGGATGGAAAGCAAAAGGATGCAACTGTATGCCTACAGGTAACACATATATGGTTTTTTGTTAAATAAAGATGTTTAAGCATTGTGGAGGGTGTTATGCCTGAGTTTCAAATAAGGGTTAAAAGTTTCCAAATTGATGATGACCAAAATACTAGTGATGAAGGAGAAAAGATTTCATTGAATTTGCATCTTATGAAGCAAAAATCGAGGTAACACCAACCCCCACTCCCACCCCCATCCCCACCATTTCATGTGCAAATCAAAAGAATGCCCTTTTCATTAAACGAAAACCTAAATGATGTCTTTGTTTTGTAGGCAAGTAGGTAGTTAGAGATGCAAAAGTTAATTAAAATGGCCTTAGAGGAAGCTAGTCACAAGGCCTCCAAACAAAGGGCTTGATAACAATCTATATCACATTCTTTTGTAACTATTATTTGTGTACAGTTTATAAAATGAGTAAGCTGGTTAGAATTGGAAAAGTTACTGCTTTTAGAAATCTATTTTGGTGGTTGTTGTTCTTAACTTTGTTCTAAGATTCATATGATGTTCTAGGCATTTCAGTATTGTATATTGTAGGTTCGCTTAAAGTTACTTAAATTGGTTAAATACAAGAAATTGCAACAAAAAATAGTGACGTTTTTTCGTAACGAATTAAATAAATTAGTGACGACTTTTTATGGTCACTAGTTGGATAAGCTAGTGACGACTTTCTATAGTCACAAATCAAATGAGAGTGACAACTTTTTATAGTCACTGATTAAATAAATCAGTGACGACTTTCTATGGTCACTAATCAATTAGGAGAGATTTATTAGTGACAACATTTAATGACGAAACCCATTGTCACAATTTAGTGACCATTATATTTTGGTCACTATTTAGTGACCGCTTTTATATTTTGGTCACTAATTAGTTTTTGTGACGGACTTATAGTGACCACAAGTGACGACCAAAAGTCCGGTCACTAAATGATATAGTGACGACTCCTTCAATTGTTAGTGACCATTTCGTTTTCGTCACTAATTGGCATTTTTTTTTGTAGTGATTGGATCCTGGAGTATCCCGGGATGCCCCTCAAAAAAAATTTAGTATTATAAATTTTTCAGAAAATTTTTGTTTATTTTGCGTTCCTTAATATAAATGTGTTTTGCAAAAAAATAACAAAAGCTCTAGTTAGTTCAGTTGATTATGACGACATGGTGTTTTTACAGAGGTTGGAAGTTCTAATCTTTGGCTTGACATATGTTAATTTTTTTGTTTATCAGTTTCTATCTTATATCCCTTCAACTTCTTTCTTATTTCTTATAATTCTAAAATTGTCTCACAACGACCATAAAATGAAACATAACCCCTATACATCTCCCTTCAACTTCTTTCTTATTTCTTATAATTCTAAAATTATCTCACAACGACCATAAAATGAAACATAGCCCCTATACATATGTTATAAAAGCAACACAAGATTTTCAATTCTCAACAAGTTAAACCTTTGAATGAGTTTGAGTTTAAACCTGAAACTGAGTTTGGAAAACTGAAAAACCGAGAAACCGAACCTATTGATTCGAGATACCCTTTTACGTTGACCCTGGCTCCGCCAATGTAAAGAACCAAGTTGATTAGTAAGAAGAGTTGGAGACTTAACCTCGTTGGTCAACACAAGTCAACGAGTGACAAGGCGGTTAGAACCTAGAGGAGTAGCATGGAGTACCCACACAACAGTCAAAGTCACGTCTAACGCTGCATTACTCCTCGTTAGCCAAAACGCATACAACACATGACGTCCACATGCGACGTGCATGTGGTGCTCCTACGTCTCATTCTCTCTTACACTAGACATTGGGACGCCAATTAGATGTGCACATCACGTACAACATCGCACTGCGTAACTTAGAGGTTGTGATTTCTCACAAAATGACCTCATAACGATTTTAACAACATTTCATAATGTGTCACAAGGTTTACAACATATTTATATTCCCCCAAATACCATTCTTTCCATGCACCACCATGCAAACTCTTGCGAAAATTGTCAATTCCATATGTTTCTAAAAGACTTGTCACCTTTCTTCCATTATCACATGCACATAACGGTGATACATTTCATAATAAGATACATAAAATTAAAGCAATAGACCAACACGACAAATACTTGTATGTTCGGATTTTTACTCCAACTGAACAATGTTTATTCCATATGAGGGTTACAAAATAACCCGTTTAGTACAAAATTTAGGATCTTACATTTTCCCCAACACTTTTTGCAAAACCTGTATCTTCTACACGATATTGACATCACTCACAAGTCACAAGGATAGCATTAGTAAAATGATTATGAGATATTCCATTCAGTAATCAGTGAGACAATAAGTGACTCCACTCCATGATTAGTAATATTATTAACCCATTGCTATCTTCTCCTATTTCATTTTGAACAATAACCAAAGCAATTAATAACAAAATAATAAAATATTACCAAATGTACAGCAGTTGTGGTTGAGTCACTTGACGATTACATAGACAGCATAAACAATTCCAGGGATCCACCCAAAAAAGGTTAGAAGCAAACATATCCAGAATTCCACCTGCACTTTGATCTCTGTCATATATGTCACTGATGCATGTGTTATGTTTGCACGAGAAACAAATAAAATAACTGGATGTGTCTTCAAACAATCATATATTTTATCCCAAGTGAAGTTATGGAAGTCAAGGAACACATGCATGTATGCCTATGTCATGTGATTTTATGTATATCGTTGATCATAAGTGCAAGATACTCACAATCAGATCACACATTATCCTAATTGACGTTGAGCTCGGAAGTTATTAATTAGACATGGCGTTATTATGAAAGAAAGATGAGACTGGGACATACCGCATACGTACCTTGATGCCAAACTTGAGAATAACACCAAGAGGAGGGAATAAAATGGCTAATAGGATTTGTACAAAAGTGTGTGTCGACATCTTGAGATGCGGGTATCTTTGATCAGAATGGATTTAATATATGGTGGAAATCAGGTGGTGATAGGCGGAGATTGAGAGATGAGGAGGGTGATCGATAGGGTTGGCTGCCCTAAAAGAAAAGTAGAAAGTGGTTATTTTGTGGATATTCCAAATTTCAAACTTACAAATATCATATGCTCAGTTATTTTTATTATTCTTAAATATTTTATAACATTTTAAATCTTTATTTTTATCGTTAATATAAATCTCATAAACTTTCTAAATATCATATTTAACCAAATACATATATACCTTTATTTTTTTCATCTCCAAAATCGCATTATACCATCTCCTCGTTACAAATTAGCCTTGATAATATCTTTCTTTTCCTTTGTTTTCTTCTTACTATGTGTAGACTTTCCTTCTTGTATTGTTGAATTTACCTGCAAAAGAATCGACTAGCTGCTTCTAAAAGTGTACCTTAAAATATTTAAAAGGTGTTTTGTATATGTTAATTAGGGAATGCCTAAATAGATAGCCAATTTTATTTTTAAGACACTCTAATTCAAACTCAAATATTTTAGTGTTATTATTACATTTTTTTCTGAAAAAAAACAAGTTCACTCTCTCTCTCTCTCTCTCTCTCTCTATATATATATATATATATATATATATATATATATATATATTTATGTACATAAGCTTATATAAAGAACGTGTAACATCCATAAAATTCAAGCTGATTTAAGACTTTTTTAATATTTCAAAAACTGATAATTATTACAAACATGTTTTCAAAATTGTTTAATATCAGAGTATCTCATAATCAAATCATGAAAACATAAGGAGGTGCACGATCATGCATTCACCTTCCCACAATTATCAGAAGTACCTGAAACAAAATCAATAACTTTAAGCCCGAAGCTTAGTGAGTTTCCCCAAAATGCCAACGCCATACAATCATAATCATATCATATAAATAAACAACATGCATAATGAGCCATCAGCTTAACTGCACCGCCTCGCAGGCCTTCAGTCTATCTGGACCACTCACCGAGCCTTCGACACGTCTGGACCGCCTATCACGGTCTTTAGCCTATCGGACCGCTTGCGGGGCCTTCGGCCTGACTAATATGCCCTCCCGGGTCTGTAGTCTATCCGGTCTGCCCAAGGTATGTTGACCTTCTGTAGAGTCTATTAGTGTTGCGTCATGGGCTTTTTGTATTGTATACGGATTGAGCCTGTCTATCCGTGATTATCTTGCAGGGTTATACTATATATATGCATGCATGTATGCATTATATTGTTACGTCTTTTATTACGCTTACATTTTTGTAACCCTAAACGCCTCTACAGTCGAAGTTCTTAGTCGAGCTCTTCTGATGCATTGAAGTATTAATCATACGACATATTCAAGTCATATTCGTGTTTATATTTTTATTCTTATTTGTTTTCATGCATAGAATCAATCGATCCTGAAAGAACTTTGTTCTAACAATTGGTATCAATGCGGGAGTCTGTGTAATCAATACACATTCCTTCTGTAATCAGAATTCTATTAGGGTTTCCACTTTTATCGTATAAATAGAAGTCGTCTTCCTCATATTAACGACAACTCTGTTTTAGATAAAAATATAATCTCAAGTTTACAAGTTTGATTCTAAGAGCTCACCATGTCTCACGAAGATTCGCAAACAAATCCCATCAACATCTTAAATAGCATTGGATCTACAACCAGAATACCCATTCTTTACACTCAAGATTATGAAGTTTGGGCACATCACTTTGAAGACTACGTGGTTGGATCGGAAGAGAATGGCTATCTCATTTGGGAGGCTATCACACTTGGGCCGTTTGTTCATTCAGGAACAAACGCAACCGTTAAGACGCAAAAGGAATATAACAAGCTGGTAGCGGATGAAAAAAAGATGGAACGGGACGAAAAAGACAAGTTGCTGTGTAATGTGAAGGCTATGAGAATGATCAGATTCGCCTTACAATCTAACACTTTTCGGTTAGTTGGTTCATGCACAACTGCCAAAGAAATCTGGGATAGGTTGAAAGAACTCTATTCGACTGATGAAGATCTAGAACACT